CAGTTCTTTACTTCAGTAAGTTGCATTTATTCATAATTTTCAATACAGTGTACTTTCAGATGTCATTCTTACTCTATATACTGTATAGCTTTTCTGTCTCACAGTACAGAAAAACCCTGAAATGGCTAAATAAGACCAGGAAAAAAAATAAAAAAAGCCTGCTGTTCAATTCTCTATCTTGCTCTGAAAACAGAATAGGACATGTTTTATCGCTAGTAAGTTCTAGGACTGAGGAAGAAAAAGAAAGGCTTTCCTCCTTTGTGGCAACTGTGAAGAGACAGAATACTTCCAGCTACGTAGAGTACCTCCAGAATAACATCGGCTTTCAGATCGGAAGATATAAGTAATAAATATCTCACTGAGGGACTTGCTGGTGACTTTGCCAATCAATTCATCTTTCACCCTATGCTTATCTGCTCTGCACCGTACAGTATGTAACACAGCATTGATGTTTTCTCTTTAGATTAATCCAGGAGAGCACTTGAGCATGTGCAAGTGCATTGTTGAATGGGCTTTAACATGGTAGAAGCTACAAAAGTCTTTGTTGACAAATAACTGCTTTCTGTTTCTGAAATACCAGAGAAATCGAGTTTTCTAAAATGTTAAATTCAAGGACACCTAAGGATGTGTTCAGAAATAACATGCTCTTGATATTTGGTGGTTTTTGCTTTCTTTTGTGCTCTGGTCTGAGTAAATCTTCCTTCTCTGTATTTCCTATTTCTATGAGTAGTTTCAGATTGAAGAAAATTGCAATTCAAGAAAAAATACCTCTACAACTTTCAGGTTGGTCTTTCATCTACCTGATAGCACATTCATTATACTACCTTAGCTGCTCTGAAGGTAAGAGGTAAGGAGAACTATACTGAGTTCAGTCATTCTAGCAATACAACAGTGAACAGTCAAACTTCCATCCTAGCCTACGCAAGCTAACTCTACGAAGAAAGATATATTTGATTTCAAATAGACTTAATATACACATTGAGTGGTCTTCAAAATTTCACTATTTCAAAAATAGTGGCTTCCTTTTTTTTTTTTTTTTTTGTCAGTGTAGTCCTTGTACTAAGAATATCCTCTAAAAAGCAATGAAGAAATTACTGTCTTTTAATGGGCATTGCTGTGGCTAATTTCATGAGATACTATGTTTCAGTAGGTCACTGTGCTGAACACGCATCCTTGATCATTTGTTTATGCTGCATACACTGCTGCTGATCTTGAGTGATTGTTGTTTGTTACTGTTTTTACTGGTGAGACAAAGACTCCATCAGTTTAACTTTGTATGTAATGGTAAATTTCATCGTAAATACTATTTTTTTTTAGTGATTACAGTTGATCTGTATCTAGAATTACATGAATTGCATGGAATAGTGTAATGAGGAATTAGTTGGCAATCAAGCTAGGACTATTTGGCAGTCAGAATTAGTTTTCTCTCTAGAAATCTGTGTGCCTGAGCAGAAAGTGTTCAGGTAGTTATCAGTATCTGATATTTCTACCTGTAAAATTTTCTAGTTATTTAACACTATTAATATTCTCCTTACAGCTTTTCTAATTTGTCCTGATCCAGCTATAGATCAGTGGGTAGATAGAGTAAATATTTGTATTTCTACTGACACAATAATCTGGAGATACCTTTGCATATCTCTGCAAGTTGCTGAGAGCTCTCAAACTGTTAACCAGGCAGTAAAAATCAATTGTCTATAGAAAGAGATGGGTAGGAAATCTTAAGTTCAATTGTGCTCAGTCTCTGCGCAGTTTTACTTTCTCCTCCTTTGGTTTCATGATAATTATCTTTGGATTTAATCAGTTTGGATTGTCTATAGATGCTTAACTTCTCTATATCACTACCTTTTATTAAGAAACTTCTTAAGGATATAGGATTTATGCTATCTTCTCCATTCTGTCTTTGACTGCAATAACACTTAAATATTTTGGGCAAGTTCAAGCAAATTTGACAGATATATAAGTGCTATTACACTTGTAGGATTTTGCTGAGTCATTCCTACAAGCTGTGTCAGTGAATGAATATGTGTAACTACAGTGGAGGAATGTTTCCAACAGGTGCATGTAGTTCTGGGTGAATGCAGTGAGCCAATGGGTAATTTTCAGAGGCTCTGGCTGGTTGTGCTGTCTTGATAACCCTTCACCTTTTTTGCTAGCCACAAAACTATTTACTTTTAATTAGCCAGTCTTTTGGGAATTTAGATTTCCTTTTAGCAACAGGAAATCTCTTAGAGATTTTCTATTCTTACAGATTAACTTCACTGTAATTTGTTCAATTGTATTGTTAAATCATCTGGTTTTTTTTTTCTCCCCAAAAACTCAGTAGCTCTGCTTTCAATTACAACTGAAACAGCTTAGGTAGCCTTCATGTGTATTTTCAGTATTTACTATTTTAAAAATACTTTGGGATGTTGTGCAATTTTAACAATATTGTAGGCATTAGAGGTTCCAAGTGTGTGATTTTTATTAAGACAAACTCTTTTAAAGATGAAGATGTCAGTGATTTTGGACTTGCTGTTTTTTACTGGCATATTCTTTCTCTTTCAGTACAAACATTGTTCCATTCACCAAACTGGAAGCAAATGATGAAAATGTGTACTTCTCAGAGTGTTATGTAATGCTGCTCTGTGTATTACTGTATGCAGACAAGAGGCTGGTGAAATTCTTGTTATGGAATCACTCCCATTAATGGAGACAGATCATTTTTTAAAAGGCAAGACCTTGTAACAACAGGTCATGCTTCTTTACTGAAATAATGCTACTGCTGCAAATAGAGGAATCCCCATAGGTAAGATGCAAGGTAGGCTTTCAGAAATCCTTTCAGTGGGTGGCAAATGTTGACAGCAGAGAAAGGGATGTGTAGATTTCATTTTTTGGTAGGTTGGACAGGCTGACAAGAAGCACATTATTTTTTGATGAGTTTTGACATGACTCTAAGTGTAGCAAAAGAATGTTTTTACTGTGAGCAGCCTAATTTTAATGGAAAAACTATATTCATCATGAAAGTTTTGCAATAGGTGTCAAGCATGTTGGAGTGAACTATAATCAACGTTTTTTTATTGGAGCTCTGAAGATTAAAGCAAGTAGTTTTGAAAAAGTAAGAACGACTCAGTCAGCTATTCTAGTTCTATTATTCTATTATGCCAAATCAGTGAGAAAAAGGAGAAGAAAAAAAAAGTTATTTCCTTCAAAAACAGAACAGAGTGACACCTCTTCCAGAATTTTGCAGCTCGAGATATGGAGAGCGGAAGATCAATTTTCATGGGAATAAAAAAAATATCTCTAAAAGCTGTTAGAAATGCCTTTAGTCTCTGACACTTTCGTAGTTGTGAGCTGTTTTGCATAGCTGTGATATTCACGTTGTCTTTCAATTAAGAGAGATAAGATACATGTGTATTATACAGAAGAAAGTGCGACAGAACTGTTAGAGATGAAAGAAGAGAATGAAGTGTGCTGGGGGATTGACAGATACTGTAGGAGGTAATTGAATAGTTATCTGTCACCCTGCTTAATTCAGTTAGCTCGGAGCAAAAGTGGGTGGAAAATACGTGAACGTTCTTTTCAAAGAATGCTGCTTTTTCTGTTTCTGCCTAGGATGAGTGTTCTTGAAAACGTTCTGTTGGGTTCCTTGTTTTTATTCTTGCTGGAGAATGCTGATGCTTCTGGATCTTCATTTGTTATTGCTCTCAAAATCCTATACTAACCATGTATTTTGGTAAACAGAAATTGCTTGAATTCATGAAAATAAACCTGAAGTTCTGAAGTGTAAAGATGTGTTATCTTTTTCCAATGTGTGTTATATGTGACCAGAAGTTTCACAGCTGGATGGCAAATCACAATTTTTAAGTGATGAAACCTCCACCTGGAGTAAGCACATGATCCTGGTCCTCATTTTTTCACGATAGAATCCTACACCGTCTATCATGATCTTAGTCATGGAATGACAAGGAGTATACAGAATAGAGAACAACTTTAGTTAAATAGAGAAAATTAATATGTTTTGTCTTGGTCCAGTGATTATTTTATCACACTGTCTTCTGCCAAAGCTCCTTTTCCCACCAGTCTTACTTGAAAGGAATAACAATCTTTGTGAATCATTGGAATTTACATTGTTTTAACTACTTCTTATGATGTTAAATAAAATAAGCTTTTATGTGTGTTACACACTGCTGTCAGTGTGTTTCTAATTCCTGTGCCTGCTCTGTTGGCCATGAAAATGCATGTTTCTTAGGCTCACAGCTGTCCCTTTAAGTCATCTAATTAACTCATTGTAAGCATTGCCATTTCCTTCTTGTCAATAATGACACTGCTGCAAATGCAGTTTTTTATAACACCCATACTATAGAGAACTACAATACCACATTCAATATTCTTTGCAGGGTGGTAAATTTGATTGATGTTCTTCTCCTTTTTGAAGCTTAAAGGGCTTCAAAAATTAAAAAGTTTGTGTGAAAGCACTCAAAACTATCTAATCTTGAGTATATTTTGGAGCTGCTTTTGTAAATCCTGTTAAATGTTCTATACATTATCGTTATTATCATGTATAATTATTACTTTTGCAGTCCTTCAGTGAAAAATTGTTTCGTACAAGAGTTATTTCTTAATTTACTTTGAACAACTTCAAAATAATTCTTTAGTGCTTTAGTACTCTTCCTTAAGTTTAGCCTTTGAAGCTTTGGCTAATTCTGGCACGTTACATTTACAAAATATTATCAAGCTGTGATGATGTGATCCTCTTTAAAACATTGATTGCTTGAATCATAAGCTTCATCTTTTCCTGTTCCTACTGTGATCATTTGGAGTCAGTTTCAGCTGGAAAAGAATGAATCATAGTACAAACTGTGAGCTACCACCTATGCCTCTTAACACTGGTGATAGTCCAGGTTTTTTCAAAATTAATAGTGCATGTCATGTGAGTGCAAAATCTATATTATGATATAGAAGTTTAAAGTTTCTGAGAATGACAGATGTCACTGATTGCTTTCTTTTTCTATTGTTTTCAGAAATTGAAAAATTTCAGGGTTCTGAAGGAAAGAAGGAAGATGAGGAAAAGAAATACCTTGATGTTATCAGCAACAAGAACATAAAGTTGTCAGAGAGAGTTCTGATCCCTGTCAAACAATACCCAAAGGTACTGTAAATATAGTCTAGCACTTATAAAATCTTTCTCAATAGATTAGAGAAAAAGCCGTGCATTTAATAATTTTTTATTGTCTCTGATTGTGCAGGCTTCAAAATATTTGAATAATTAGAAATAATGCTTCTGTCTGAATGTATCTGTTATAAGATACTGAATGATCTAAGTTCTGTCTGAGGATTTCTCAGAAAAGCTATGAAATTTGAATTTTTTTTTTTTTTTTTTTTTTTTACTTTAGGTTGGGTTTTGGAGGTGGTCCTAAGGAAAAACACTGAATTGTTTTCTCATGGAAGCCTTTTTTTTTTTTTTTTATAATGACAAGATACTGTAGTTTTAGAAAAGATAGAACCAGTTCAGGAAAAAATATTCTAATAATAAATATTCTAATAATAATAAAAAACCAGTATTCAGTAAATCTAAAATGTTAATTTATGTGTGCTGCATCTTTTTATATGAATTAGGGGATTTTTTGTGCAGTGTGAAGTTGTAAAAGAAAATAGCAAGACTTCTGCAAGCTATGAATTTGAGAATGTCTGTGCCTTTTATAAAATATACTTTGCTCCTATGTTGTTTTGTTCTCACTGTTACGATTGATACAAAAAAAAAAGTTCTCTTTGCAAAAGAACCTCAAATTAAACTGTTTGTCTGAAGTTTTTTTTAATTTCTCATCCTTTTACGTGAAATGTAAATCATTTCATATCTTTACAAGAAAATATGTGTGCATGAAGAAAACAAAACATAGTTTTATTAATACAGCTTTTTATTTTACCTAATCACTTGTTGTAATGGCATTCAAACTGAAATGGTAGACATCTCCATTTATCTCTACAGTGTTTTTTTCTTTCTTTGGCTCAACATTAGCCATGATTGTACTCTCAGGCTTTTGCTTTATATTTTCATCAGTGATAGGAATAAATTACTATGGGTAAAAAGTCTATCAAATAAAATGAAAGGTGTTAAAAAAAAAAAAAAATCAGTTATTCTAGCTGTCATTTATCTCCTGACTAGTGAATAAAAAACTGAGACAATGCAATCATCTAAATTGTAAAGATCTTAGAAGTGCATGCAGTGCTTTAGGGAATTACTTTCTTGCTGCTTAGCTTGATGTACTTTGCCTGGATTTGTAGTATTTTGTATAAATGCGATAGGTGACCTGAAGTTCTTAATAAGAATATAATAGTGCTGTAACGATAATGTAATAATTATTTTATGAAGATAGCAGAAAGACAAACTACTTGAAAGACAACTGCAATAATCTATCCAATATATTCCCTGAATATTATTACGTTAAACTAAATTTACTTTAATTAACTTGTTACAAGTATTAAAATATATAAAGTATTTCCTCAAGTTTTGAGCTGTTAAACAAAAAAACCCCACAACAGTGCAGTGGAAATGAAAATCTTTCAGTAATGCAAAATGCACTCTTTGAAAGTTTCTATAGTTGATTTTCTAGCAAAGTTTTATGTTCAGAATGGAATAATTCTCAGAACTGCAGGTTTCCTGCCATCCTTCAAGGATTAGATTTGAAATTTGTATCAAGCTGCTGATTGCTGTAGTCTAGTGTCTTGTCCTTTCTTGATGAGTTGTAAACATAAGGACAGTCAAAATTAGTACTTAGTGGTTGCTGGAGATTGCTTTATAAACATCCACAAACAGTAAAAATTGGGTGAAAAAAGACATTAATTTTATATATTTAGCAAAGCATGGTATAAGAGCAGCTAATCATACTTTTGCTTTACAAATAGTTCAGTCTGAGAGGTGCTTATATTTGAAAGAACATCAGTTTAAATTATTAATTTATTCTTCGTTGATGAGCTTTGCTGGACAGTGCTTGATGAGCGGGATGTGTTAATCGGGAGGAATTGTCTAAGAGTGTACAAATTTTGAAAAAAAAAAAAAAATAAAAAAAATCCGACCAGTTAAAAAGAAAAGTTGTTTCAAATTATTTACAACCTGTTTAGTCTTTTTAGGAACAATATCATTCCTTTAACATTTGTTTTTACTATGGCTACACATGAAACAATGCAAATTGCTCAAGGAGTCCTTGGTCTGGAGGTTTAGGATGCTGTCTATGTTACATTGCAGTGGGGATAGATCCCTTTTGTGACAGCTTTAGAAGCAGAGGCAGCATTTTAAGGTTTAAGAGAGAATTAAATTGAACACAGAAGGCTTTTAGTACTTAAACCACTCTTGAAATTGCAGAATAAGTATTATAAAATTGTCTCTATTCAAGTGTCTACAGTTTGATTTGTGAAATTGCTGTTGCAGACAACAGAAAAATAGAATCAAAGCCTGTTATTAGCAACAGGGTTATCTCTTAAGTTACCAGATCTGTTAAAGATGTCTTTCTTATTTTCCTTTTTACATGCTCCTCAGTGCAGCAGATATTTTTAATAACCTCAAAATTCTTTCAGAAACAGGAGTATAATATCTTTCTCTTTTTCCTGTCTCATACTGTCATTCAGTTTTTTATATAAGCATTCCATCTAATACAGACCAACAAAAATGCTCAGAAGAATATTTATTACTGACTTCTCCATCTTTCAACTTTTTTTTTAACTGTTCAATATAAAGCTTGTGCAGGGTTGTTCATAAAAAATTTACCATTAATCACTTGTATGTCATACATCCAGTAAATCAAATGTGGAAAAAGAGTGAGTTATTTCTTAGAGGAAAGAAAGAGAAATCAGATTATCTTGTTGCTGAAAAATAGAAGCCACAATTTAGAAATTTGATGTACAGCTTTTTTATTTGCAAGCCAACACCTTGGGATTAGAGTCTCCCTTTCCTATAAGGGCTTTGGGTTAAAGCATCTAAACAAATATAATTTATACCTTCGTTATTATCATGGAAGTCACTGTTGAAATCCTATGATCTTATGAAGAAAAAATTACAACAGAGGTGTTCCAGGGTGCACTCATTAACTCATAAAGCCACTACGGTTCAATATGAAGGAACGTAAGCCTATATAGGTTGTTTTTTCTTAGAATGGTTTCCATGATGCAGAGTTGCAAACTGCAAGCCGCAGCCTCTTAGCAGGGTAATTAAGCCTCTTCCCGTCACAGAGGCAGCAGCCCAGTTATCTGGCAATAGTCTGTCTGAGAAATTGGCTATCTTCAGCTGAGCTTCCCAGCTTCTGATGACTTCATTCTGGAGGCTTAACTATCACTTCGAGGAAAAAAATAATAGAATCAAACCCCTTACTGCCTTGAAAGACTGCTGATGTCCCTCTTTAGGGTGAATGTTTTTGGTGAAGAAAGTTAAGCTAATCTTAATAAAAATGGCAAATTTAGTTTAATTCCAGATTCTTTATTCTTTGTTTTAGCTATCTTATGAAAGTTCCTAGAATGATTGTACTGGTCACATTTCTTTATCAAATGTAAACTGTTTATGTGGTACGTAACATGTCACATGACACTACTCTTGAAATTAAATGTCTTTGTTCAGCTGAAATCTTGTAAAGTATTTTGATCTCTATGATATTAAAACAGAATCCACAGGTGGTTTGCACAACGAAATACAGTATCTTGAATATAGATTACTCTTAAGAGTGGATCTCTCCACTAAAAACTTTCTTACATAGCATTCAAATCAGACCTTGGATGAAATAGCTATTTGCAGGATTAGAAAGCTGGTTTTATAATTTTCCTTGTTCTAATAAATTTAGCAGAAGTTAATGGGATTATTTTGTTTGTTTTCAGGGATCCTGAAGGGATTGTAAATAATTTGAATGGCAGAATATATTAATGCAAGTCTTGTCCATGTAACGGCTGTAAAGCAGCCATCAACATTTGACCAGTCATTTTGCAATTCTGTCAAGGATGTAATTCATTAAATGAAGTTAAATGCTATTCAGTAACTTGAAGCATTTCTTTTTCATATGTATTTTAAATGTGTCCTTCCCCTTTATAAGCTGTGTAGATCAGATTAAAATTACAAGCAAGAGACTGTCTAAATAAGAATAACAGAAATTTCTTGGGATGAAAAGAAGTCTGAGCTGAATTCTGAATTTTCCACTGTATCTGATTAATCAGCCATTATTCTAATTGATTAATGACTGTGTTTTATTGTGTATCAATACTACATTAAAAATGTACAACCAACCCCCTCAAAAAAAAACCCAAAGAAACAAAAAAAACTGGATTAATTTAGAGACTTATAGCAGTGGCAGTTCTGTGAATATTCCTCTCCCCCCAGATTGAAATAATTTACTTTCTTTTCATTCTTTCACTGTTATTTCATATATAGAAACAAAAGTTCTGATGTTGCTGTTTGGCATAAAGAGTAAAGAGGAACTGTAGTCATAGTATCAGTAGGAGAAAGACTCATTAATGAGGAGAAAGTGGAAAAGGAGATAGTCATGACTGAGATGGAGAGGAGCAAACAGTCTGGAAGATAAGACAAAGTTCAGTTCACGAATTGAATTACTGTATGTGCAGTATGTTTCATTACATGTGAAAATGGCGAGGAAGATAAATATATAATAGGAGATAAGAAAGAAGAAGGTGAAATAACTGAACTTAAAGACAAAGCAAAACAAACAACAACAAAAAAAACCCAAACGGTTCATTACTACATTAAAAGAATGGCTAAGAGTGAGCATGGGGAGCCAGTCTGAGCTAGATTCTCTGGCAAGTAGTTACCTATATAGACATCTTCTGCTAAACAAATGCTAATTTTCCAATGATTTTGATGTAATTTGTTTATTTTATTTCTGTCTACAAAGGCTTTTGAGAAATCATGATCTGTCATTTTTCTCTTGGCATGAATTTGTGAATTATTTTTAAGTATGAAACAAACTGTAGACTATTTTGTGATAAAAATGATTAAGCAAAGAGAAAAAAAAGAACTCAGGATAATTCAGTTGTCTACCATTATTTTCAGTTGTCTACCAGTATTTTCAAATATGTATTTTTCTCTCTTTAGATCAGTTATCTATTTGGTCTGGTCATTTATTGTTCTCCTAAGTTAAATTCATCCAAGTGTGTGGT